CTGACTTGACAATGTATTTCATGCCCCCTTGTCTTTGCTAACATTGTTAAGCTTTAGCTATTTGGATAAACTAAGTCAGACAAAATTCTGCAAAGGCACATGATTGATGGAGCAGGAAAAGTAACGTTCCGAGTCTCTCTGTAAACTGTATTTAGGGATTATTGTTTTATTTTCATACTAAAAAAAATCTTCAATTCAAATTTGAAGAAAGACTGAAACTTAAGAGAAACAAAACTTTAAAATCCAAATATTATAAAAAGCTACTAACCTGCTGTGCAACTGCTGAAGATAATTAAGACACAGTCAGTCACCATATAAATGATCAGATTTTTTTAATGTGCTCAGGAGTATGTGTATAATCATGCTAAGTATGTAATTCATTTCAAAGAACAAGCTTTAGTCTTCTGAATATGTTATCTATGTTAAGCTTGAATCAAGTAACTAAAAACAAGCAAAGTTTCTTTCAAATCAAGTATACTTAATAAAAGATTAGGTGACTGCCCTCAAACCCTTCAGAGAGATCTGCTGAACATAGCATTCAAGGTGCTTAATGAAAAAGACGTCCCATGAAAGACAGAAAAACCAGGTTCTCATAGCAGCAGCTGAGGTTGTCTCCAAAGAAATGGGCAGCAATGGACTCTGCCTGGAACTTTCGTCAAGTGTGGTAAAGCTGACCACTGGGCAAAGAACTGCTCCATGTATCACCCATCACCAGGCCTCAGAGAAACTGTAAACACTGTTGGTTCGACCACTCTGCTATCTCTTGACAAGATAGGTCATGAACTTTCCGAAGTTCTTTCTCCACAGGAAAGTCTTTGAGACCTTCTGGGTCTGCCATACGAGGGCTGGCACTGCCCTGGGCAGTCAAAGGCTTAATGATATCCTGCATGACAGCCAAAGACTGATTCCCTCTGCCCACAACAAATCCACTAGATCACTATGTAGCACCCGACTCTGGCTGTCTATGTAGTGGGTCCCTAATTATCTTAATTGATAAAGAGGCCAGTTGGTTTATACTTCCTGTTTAAATTTAGCCTTCTCAGATCTCTGTGATTGCTTGATAGGGAGACCCAGCTTTCTAAGACTCTGCAACAGCAAGACAACCATGGCAGCTCCACTCCTGAGGGGCCAGTTGCCCAGGCAGTTCATTTCATATGTAAACATCAGACCTTGTTTTTCTTAGTTCTCCTTCTTCTGATGAGAAAGGCAAATTACACACATGATTACCTTTCTGCAGGCTTCATTCTGAGAAAGAAAAATTCACAAAACAGATTTCGATGTAAAAACAGACCCAAACTGCCATACTTTTCTTACCAACAAACTTTACTTTTTACTCAAAAATACCAGAATCTGCAAACAAAACAAGGCCAAGTATTCAACACATGGAGGATCTGTTTTCCCCAGAGGGTCTAAGGGTAGGGGTAAGAGATAAAGACAGGAGATAAGGGCAGGGGGGGAGGGAAGATGAATGGAGGTGGAGTTGGGTAGAGTGGGGTGATATTTTTGTCCTGGAGGGACAAAGGCCTGCTTGCCTCTGAATAAAGAGAAGACAGATGTGTTCCATAAGCAAATGGCAGTTTATAAAAGGGAAATGTCCTGTAAGGATTGGTTGGTTGGTTTTGATTGGACATTTTAATAAGGGCAGCCCAATGGGAACAAAAGGTTGCTGGGCTTTGATAACTGGACCTTGGTGGTCAGCTTCAGAGGAAGGGGAAAAATAAGGAAACAGATCTTGGTGGCTAGTT